CCCAGGCCGATTGTGCTCTGTTGGCTGGGGTGGGTGGAGTTATTAGGTCGTCTTCCCCATCCTGGGAGGAGAGGCCCTTAATACACCCATTTGACAGAAAAATAAAGCTTTTCTGTGCTGCCTGTGTGAGAAGTAGGTTCCGCCGCAGGGTCAGGAGATCCTGGTAAGAGCCGCTTAACCAAGAGGCTTTACTCTTTTGTGCATCGAGGGAGACCCAGAGCCGGGCCGCCCAGATCCACGGAAAGCTTCCAGCCCCTCCGGCCCCGTGGCTCCGCCGTTCTCGGGGTCCGGGATGCCGCTGCTGTGGCAGGGCCACTGGGGGTTGGCCCGCGTGCTTCTGCGTCCATCCGAACTGTCAGGACCCAGGTGGCATAGCTCTTAGCTTCGAGGAGGTGGGGGGTGGGGGCAGCGAGGCACGGTTTGTGCAGCCGATGCGTTGTTTCGGCTGGAGACCGGGGGCTTATCGATGCCGGTCAGGGTTTGAACCCAGAACAGCCCAGCCTCTTAGCCAGCCACTCGGTGGTCCTGCGGGGGTGCACGGAGGGGGGCACGGTGCAGTCGGGAAGTCATGTGGCACGTGGGCGCCGGCCGGGGGTCCTGGTGTTGCGGGAAGGTCTGCCTTTGTTTTTCTTGGGGTAGGACGGCCAGGGGCAGTGTCCTTCCCTGGATGTGCTGCTCGGAGCCCTGGAGACCCTGCCTGGGGACTAAGAGCTTGCCGGCCCCCCCTCCTTCCAGCCCCCTGGTGTGCACCCCATTCCCACACAGCCCCTCCTAACACCTCTGGGCGTCCTACTGCACAGGCTGGAAACCCCACCCCACCCGGCCCCTGTCCCCTCCTTGTGCTCCGACACGTCGCACACGTAGAAAACATTCCTGCCCTGCCAGGTGGCCTCTCTGGAGCCTCCTGTCCCCTGAGCAGATCAATGGCTCCATGCTGCCTTCCTGGCAGGGCTGTCCCCCAGAAGAACCCGCTGAGACCTCGTTCTCGGGGCGGCGGGGGCGGGGGGGGGGCGGTGACGGGCACAAACCCAGAGGGGCCTGGCTGTGGGCTGGTGCACCTCCCCCGCCCAAGTCCAGGGGCTGGGGCAAAGGTCAGCAGGTGGCCTGGGGCTGGCCTTGAACTTCCTTCCAGCTGCTGGGGCACAGTGCTGGCTGGGGGGTGGGGGTGCGGGGGGGGGGGAGGGCTCTCACTGTCATCCGCTTTGGATTCTTACCTGCTTGCGACACCACATTTCACTCTTCAGTTGCTCCCAGGGTCGCAGCCTCCTGGGCTCAAGGCCCACACCCTTCCCCTTTCACAGGCAGACGTGAATGCTTAGTGAGGTCAGGTGCATCGCGCAAGGTCATGGCCAGAGAAGGGAGCCAGGATCCGGATCTGCCTCACCTAGAGCTTGCGAAGGCCCCACGTGTCCTCAGGCTAAGTGCAGAAGGTCTGAGGAGCCTGGGCTCCCCTGGGGCGCTGGAAGGATCTGTGGCGTCCTAGTGCTCAGAGGTTCTAGGTGGTTCTGGGTTGGGTAGAGGGCTCCTGAGAAAGATCCAGGAAGGGCCAGGACAGCCCATCTATCTGCTCGACGAACCATCCTGCTCCCGGGGGCCACGCGCCATGAGGTGGAAAGGTGGCACCTGTCACCCACCTGGCAGCGGGCACCCACCAGGCCACCTGGGCTCCACCTGGGGAGGTGGAGTCACGGAGTTGGGGGCTAGGGATGGAGAACAGCCCCCAGAGCTGTGCGGCCGAGTCCCCGGGGCCAGCACCGGGGACACCCGGCTCCCAAGAGGGCGGCCCCCCTACGCTCTGCGGCTGCCCGAAGGGTCCAGTGGGGCTAGTGGGGCTGGGCTCAGGACAATGGCGGCTGCTTTGGGCTGGCCGAGTGGGGACAGTGTCGCTTCTGCCTGGGTGGTGTCTCCAGAACCTCAGGGAAGGGAGGGAGGCCTCACAGCAGCTTCTGGAGTTCGGTCTTGCAATCCCGAGTCTTCACCCCCACCTCCGCTTGCCCTTTGCCTCGCATCTTCTGTTTGTTTTCGGAAAACCGGGTTAAGAGTGGGTCCCGGCCCACCTGGCGTCCCTGCGGTGTGACCTTGGGCAGGGGGCTTCACTGCTGAGCCTGGACTTCCTCCGTGGGGTGGATGTCCCGGGCGTGCCCACCTCGCGGGGCTACTGTCTGAGCCGAATGTGAGGGTTCCGTGCGAGGCGTGGGGGAGGGGCGTGCCCACCTGCCACGGCTCTCCGGGGGTGGGGGGGGGAGCCCCGCTTCCTGTCCCTGGAGGCGCGCGCGGGGCACCCAGAAGCGTCCTCGCTTTGCTTCCTTCACGTTGAGAAACTCTTAAAACGTTCACCTCGCTCACGCTTTTACGGAAGACCTTGGAGTGACGTGACGTCAGGAGAGGGAGAGGTGGGGGCGCGCTGCCTCCAGAGACTATGCTGTGTCCCCCGGGACGCACCGGTGCCTCCTCCAATCCCAGCGTGCACCTTGCTTTGGCAGCCTGCCCGGGTCACGGCAGCTGCCGAGTGTCGTGATGCATGTGTGTGTGTGTGTGTGTGTGTGTGTGTGCGCGCGCGCGCGCGCGCCCAGCACGCTGCCTGAGGTCCGCACGCGGTATTCCCCGCAGTTCTGGAAAAACCAGTCCGCAGCCAATGCCTTCCAGTAGATACAAAGAGAAATCCTGACAGAGAAGGGAGAGAAGTCCTGGAGACAGCCGGGGACGGCCACATCTCAGTGGGGGTGTGTCGGTGCTACCGAGCTGGACGTTTAAGAACGACTAAGGTGATAAATTTTATGTCACGTGTATTTTACCACCATTTTTAAAGAGAGGGAGAGAGAGAGAGACAAAGAAAGGGAGAAAGAAGAGGGCAAGTGGCTCTACCAGAGAGAATGCCGAGCACTTGCGCGTGTGGCCCGAGATCCTGTGCGGCGGCGGGAGGCGCCCCGAGTGAGTGGGGGTCTCCCTGCCTGCCCTGCCTGGCGCCCCGCGAATCCACCTCTCCCTGGGGCGGGCGACACCTGGACGGCTGCTGTTTTCTGATTCGGACCACCCTGGAGGGGCGCAGGGCCGGCCTCAGCATCGGATCCCGGGAGAGGCACCTGATTTCCTGGTGGCAATTTCCCATCGCCGGGCAATGCCGACCTGCCCTCCAGGCCTGGCTGTGCCGGCCGCCCGAGGGCTGATGCCAATTCCCCTCTAGATGCAGCCAGGGTTCTGGTTCCCATGTGCTTCGCTCTGACTGCTGGTGAAACGGAGGCTTTTGCCTGTTTACTGGCCATTTCCATCGTTCCTCTTTGCGAAGCACCTGCTCGTGACCCCTCCTTGTCCCCTCGGTCCTCACAGTGACCGAGAAGTGGTCTTTGCAGATGAGAAACTGGGGCCCGTGGAAGGCCAGCAGCCGGCTAGTGCAGCCCCGGAGCGGGAAGGGATGTACGGGCAGGTGTGGCCTGAGCTGGCCGAGGCTGGCCGGTCCGGGGAGGGAGCTGGCCTAATCACCTCGCCCAGCAGCCCCACGTTAGCTGCTGCGCCTCCCTGGGGCTCAGTGTCCCCATCTGCAACACGGGGCAGCTTGCAGACGCACGGCCAGCCCTGAAGCCTCAGCTCACAGGGGGCCCCCGGAGGAGCCGGACCCACAGACACAGGGAGTGGGAGGGAGCGGGGGGAGGGGAGGGTCCGGGTTCAGTGGGACAGAGTTGGGTCTGGAGGGTGAGGTGGTCCTGGGACGGTTGCACAACCGTGTGAATGTGCGCGATGCCGCTGGGCTGTGTGTGCGCAGTTTTAGGTCATGTGTGTTTTACGACAATTTAAAAAACTGGAGTCTGGCTTTGACTCCAGCGCTGAGTCTCTGCTCTCCTGAGAGCCATCGCTGGGCCTTGGGCGGTTTCTTCACCCTTCTGTATAAAGCGGGAAATCCCTCCCTTCCCATCAAGACCATGGACGGCCTCGGCTAACTCAGGGGCTGGAGGGCACCCGAACCTTCGGGGAGAAGGAGACACTTCTGGGTCAGGAACCCTTGGGTCCGTGGGGGCACATCTTTAGTTGCCTGCCCCCCCCCCCCCCCCCCGCAGGGGATGGGAAAGACCCAGGGGCCCTGCAGGGAGTTGACATGACACTGAGCCTCACGCCTTGGGCTCCGTCACCCCAAGGACCCCTGATGGGTCCCTTCCGGGGTACGAGCAAAGCGTCCCAGGCCACTCTGCCTTCCTGTGTTCTCCAAGGCCGGCCAGCACCTGCAGGCACATCCCCACAGACATACCCACTCACACCCGCCACATGCTGCTTGGAGGCGGCCCCTGAGGGTCCCCGATGCTCCAGAGCAGCTACCTGCGGGGGCGGGGGCAGGTGGTGTCCCAGGCCCGTGTGCATCCTGGCTCCCTTCCTCTCTCGCCTGTGCCCTCGGGGAGTTTTTAATGTTTATTTACCTGAGAGAGAGAGAGAGTGAGCAGGGGAGGGGCAGAGAGAAGGAGACACAGAATCTGAAGCCGCCTCCAGGCTCTGAGCTGTTGGCACAGAGCCCGACGCGGGGCTCGAACCCACGAACCGCGAGATCATGACCTGAGCCGAAGTCGGACGCTTAACCGACTGAGCCGCCCAGGCACCCCTATAATTATTATTTTTTAAATTTGATAAGTAATCTCTACACCCAACATGGGGCTCGAACCCACAGCCCTGAGATCAAGAGGGGCACGTTCCACCGACTGAGCCAGCCGGGCGCCCCTCCACGTTGGGTTTTTAGTCGCTGACACAGCCAGGAACCAGACCCAGGCTGGCCCTGGGGGCTCTCAGCCTCCAGCCTCCTTCCAGCTGAGTCTCCCACTTGGCTGAGCAGGCAGGGGTGTCGGGGTGAGGGCGGGGTCACACGGGCAGGTCCCTGGAAAGCAGATGTGGAAGTGGGCGCCCTCCCCTTTGCCAGAGGGCAAGCCGGGGCTCCGTCTGCCGTGGGGATCTCTGCTGTGTCTCTGTGTCCAGTCCGGCTGCGGGCCAGCGGGGCCCTGCTCACTGATGCTGTCTCTCTTTAGCATCATCAGTTGGTTTGTCCGGACCTTCAAGTACGTATTCGGCCTTCGCTTTGACATAAAGGGCCGCCAGAAGTTGGAGGTGGACCACCCGTGTGTCATCATTTCTAACCACCAGAGCATCCTGGACATGATGGGTAAGGCGGGGCCGCGGAGGGGCTGGTGGGAGAACTGGCCCTTCCCAGCTGCAGGCCCAGCCCGGGACCCTGCCCCGGTCTCTGTGGGGGAGATGCTTCAGGGAGGTAGAGCCCGGGCCCGGATGAGCCGGCGGGCGAGGGGATGCTGACCCGGGCCAGCGGGACCCGTCCCTCCCTGCAGCCACACAAAGCTGCATGTGCCTGACGCTGCGCATGGGGCGCTGACGGCTGGCAGTTCTGCTTCACTCCCTCCCTTTGCGGGCGGGAGGCAGGGGTGGCTAGTGGGAAGGCATGATCGGCCCAGGCCTGTTGGTGGTCAAGGCACGGGGCTGGCGCTCTCCTCCTTGGGAAAGATGGCTGCCAGGCTCTGAGCACGGCCTCCACCTGCCTGGTGTCCCATGGCCACCTGCAGGCCTTATGGAGGCCCTACCCAAGCGCTGCGTGCAGATTGCCAAGCGGGAGCTGCTCTTCATGGGGCCTGTGGGCCTGATCATGTACCTCGGGGGTGTCTTCTTCATCAACCGGCAGCGCTCCAGGACCGCCATGACCGTGATGGCCGACGTGGGCGAGCGCATGGTCAGGGAGAATGTGAGTGTGGGCGTGATGGCCGCCGGGGGGGCAAGCGCTGGTCAGGGACAGTGTCAGTGTGGGTGTGATGGCCGCCGTGGACAAGTGTGTGGTCAGGGACAGAGTGAGTGTGGGCGTGATGGCCGCCGGGGACAAGTGCGTGGTCAGGGACAGAGTGAGTGTGGGCGTGATGGCCGCCGTGGGCAATCGCGTGGTCAGGGACAGTGTCAGTGTGGGCGTGATGGCCGCCGGGGACAAGTGCGTGGTCAGGGACAGAGTGAGTGTGGGCGTGATGGCCGCCGGGGACAAGTGCGTGGTCAGGGACAGAGTGAGTGTGGGCGTGATGGCCGCCGTGGGCAATCGCGTGGTCAGGGACAGTGTGAACGTGGGGTTCGGGCCTGTTCGGCACTGCACAGGCTGCCACGTTGTCGTGCAGAACGGCCCTCAGGAGCAGTGCCTACGCGTTAGCGGCGGTGGTCTCGGCGAGGAGCGGGGCTCCTTTGGAGGGGACGGGTTGTGAGGTTCCGCTCCAGCTGCCCCTCTCTCCCCTGCAGCTCAAGGTGTGGGTCTACCCTGAGGGCACGAGGAACGACAACGGGGACCTGCTACCTTTCAAGAAGGGTGCCTTCTACCTGGCGATCCAGGCCCAGGTACGCCAGGGCAGCGCCCTCTCCGGGGAGGGGGGCAGGGAAGCGGGTCCCAGTCGGCTTCAGGCGGAAGGCGACTGCCTGGCCACCGCCCCTCGGCACCTGCTTCCTGACCTGTGACGGAGGTCAGGAATTTCTTCGGGCCTCTTCACCCACTCTGAGCACTAGGGCTGGTGGCTGATCGGGTCCAGTGGGCAGTGGGATTCACGCTTGTCACCGGGGCACCCGTGCCTGGAGCTCCAGCACCCCCGGGTTGGAGCTGGCCAGGCAAGGGGCCCCCGCAGGGAGGCTGGGGTCGGCGTAGAAGGCAGAGGCGGCGGGCCTGTTTGCTGAGCGCCCGGGAAGGCCGAGTGCTCGTTGGGTCCCGCAGAACCGCTGGCTGGAGTGGGGTTTCGGGGGCACCAGCGGGTCCAGAGGGGCAGGGCTGGGCAGAGCCGGAGGCGGGCCTGGAGAGAGCGAGCTGTGAGCTCTGTGCTGGGCCGTTGTGCTCTGGCCCAAGGCGCAGTTTGTCCAAGAGGGGCTTGGGGGTGGTGCCGGGAGAACCTGGGGGCGCATCCGTCGGCGGGGCAGGGTCTCCTGGTGGGGAACGGGCGCCCTGTCCCACTCCCTGTCGGGGGGTGTTCGTGTTGGGGAAAGTCATCGTCTGGGGTCAGGGGAAGGGGCTGTCCTCCTGCCCAGTTGGGGTCTGGGAGGGGGCTGGGCAGGGGTCTGCTCGCCTGATCCCCACCTGTGCCGGGTGGCCTCTGGCGCCCCCTGGTGTCTGGCCCCGAGCACGGCTCGCAGGGGCTCCCAGCTCACACACCCGATGCCCTGGGTGCCTGGGGCGGAGGGGCCCTGAGCCCGGCAATGCCTCAGCAAGGCTCTCTCAAGCCCTGGACCTGCGGCCCCTCCAGCTGGGAGGTGGAAGGCACCCCTGCCACATGCCTGGGGCCGATGTCACTTCCCTGGGCTGGTGGCATGAGAGAGAGGGGTGGTGGGAGAGGGGACACTGAGGTGTGGCAGAGCTGGGGGGAGACGGCCTCAGCCAGGAGCTTGGGCATCTTCCCCTGTCCTCTCCCCTGGTTAGAGCTGCGCCGGGATGGGGGAGGGGTGGGCCCAAAGACCTCAGTAACCTCCTGCTAAACTGGACAGGACCCTGACCCCCCCCCCCACCCCTCCCCTGGGCCATCAGGACCGTAGGGGCACCGATGTGTATCATAAGGACATGTGCCAGCCCAGGAGGCTTCCTGGTGGAAAGGAATACTTGAGTGAAGATATGTGGGATGCGTTTACGGAACTCTGGGCCACCCAGGGCGTGAAAGGTGTCCCCGGCCCAGGGGTCAGTATGCAGAAGGGCCCTGAGGCAGGTCAGCACATCTGTGCGGCCATGGCACTCCCAGGACCTCCTCAGGCCGAAGGCAAGCGGGTGGCCAGGCAGGGCTCCCCGGTGGCTCATTCTTGGGGCTCCCGGTGGGCAGGGATGGGCTCCTGTGTGTCCTCAGGCACCGTGGCTTCCTGTCCACAGGTGCCTATCATCCCCGTGGTTTACTCCAGCTTCTCCTCCTTCTACAACTACAAGACGAAGTTCTTCACCTCAGGTAGCGGCCCCCCCCCCCCTCCACCGGTCCCCACACTCGGGCATAGCACCCTCGGCCGTAGGACACCCAGAACCCCAGTGGGATAGTTCCCGTCTCTGGGAGGTTCCTCTAGGCCAGACCCTGCCCCTCCGTGATCATGTGGTGAGTGGAGAAGGCAGGCGGGACTCTGGAATCCCAGCCACGAGCTGAGGCGGGCAGTAGTGGGCCCATTTCCCAGATGAGGACACAGAGGCTGGCAGAGGATGGGGTAGGTGCCCGAGTTCATACACACAGGCCCAGGCTGGGCAGCGGCCTCCCAGGTACCCCTGCGCCCACCAGCCAGGGAACTCGGGGCCGCTACCCTTCCTTCCAGACCCTAAGTGTGGGCACCCGGTGCCTGGGTGGGAGGGTGGGCCAAAGGTTGAAGGGCAGTGGGGGGAGGAGCCTTGCTGTGTCCCGCCCCCAGATGTGAGACTCCCGACCACCTAAACCATCACGGGGGATGAGAGTGTGATGGCGGGTGTGGGTGCCCGGGAGGGCGCAGAAGTGTTCAGCTTGGCAGGGCTGGTAGGGGCGCCTAGAGCCGTCAGACCCTGCAGAGCGTGTACTTTGGAGCTTTGGTTGTGTCACTTATTCTCCGTTAAAAACCAACCATCTGAGACCAGGGTGTCCAGGAAAGAACCCAGCCTGGTGGGGCCTTGGGAGGCTCCAGGGAAGGCCAGTGGGCGGCCGAGGAGCAGGAGGCAGGGGGTGTGGGCGGCGCGGGAGCCAAGAGAGGCCGCGACACGGGCGCCCGGACAGCAGGTGCTGGCGGGGGCCCCCAGGCCGCTGATGCCCCACCCCCCCCAACAGGAACGATCAGGGTGGAGGTGCTGGATGCCATCCCCACCAGTGGCCTCACCGTCGCTGATGTCCCCAAGCTTATGGATAGCTGCCACCAGGCCATGAGGACCACCTTCCTCCGCATCTCCAAGACACCCCAGGAGAACGGGGCCACCGCAGGGCCTGGTTCCCAGCCCGCCCAGTAGCCGAAGCGGGGCAGGACCTGGGGGCAGGACGGGGCCGACCGGGGGCAGGGCCTGACTGGAGAATGGACCGAGGGACCTCCTCCCCTGCCCCAGCTGCTAAACGTCACTGTGTCCTGCTCCTACGTGGTTCTCCCCGCTTTGGTTTCGCCCCGGATGCAGGCCACTGCTTCCTGTCACGGGCCTCGGATCCAGGCCTCCGATGTCCCCCAGGAGAGTCAGCTGGACCCTCCTCACGGAGCCCACCCTTGGGCCTCCCGGATCTGGGAGCAGGCCTGGGCCCAGACGGGCTGGCGGCCTCGGGGTGGATGGCCGGCGCTGAGACACTTTACCCTCCTGCCTGGGCCCGCGGGGTGCAGAAGCGGGGTGCAGGGCGGGCCCTCCGGGAGAAACGGGACTCTAGGTGGGGGCCAGACACCGGGTCCTGTGCAACCGGGGCCTCGGAGAGCCAGAAAGCAGAGGTCCTTGCTCCGCTGGCCTCGGGGAGCAGGGCGGCCGCCCGGGCACCGCTTTCCGTTGTTTTTTATAAAGGAACTCTCTGGAGTGCCTGGTGACTCGTGATCACGCAGGGGGCGGGCGGGACGCCACAGCCCTCGGCTCCCGTGCGCGTAGCGTGGGCGCCTCTGCCTCCCCGCTCCAGGGGCCAGGCCCACGATCATCCTGCATTGCTGTCTTCCGCGGGTGGGGGTGTCCACCTAAGTGGGCTGTGGGCATCCTGGGGATCTGGGGAAGGAGGCTGAAGATCTGCTCTTTGCCCCCTGGGGTTGCCACCTAGAGGCTAGTTTCGCCTTCCGGAAATCACCTGCTCCAGCCCCTGCCGCAGAGGGAGGACCGGGACCCTCTAGAGGAGGCTGTATAGAGGGGCTGTGTGGCTGCAGCCCCCTGCCCTGCCCCACGGCTGCCACCTTTCCCTCCCCCCAGGCAGCAGGTGTCCCCTCCCCCCAGGCAGCTTCAGAATGCCCTCCATGATCCACCAAGGACACAGCGGCTCCTGAACCTTCGCTTTATTCTGACACAGATCACAAAAGGCTCCCCGATGTGCTGCCCAGCGACAAAGACCCTCGTACCTTCCCTCCGCCATGGGCCCGCTGGTGGGGGTGCAGAGGTGCCGGCCAGGCGGAGGCTGGATTCATACCTAGGAGGAACGAATCCCGCCCCACCCAGCACCATGGTGACCGGCTCTCAGGAGCCAGAGCCGGGAACCCGTCACAGCTCCTTCTTGCAGGAACCTGTGGGCGGGTGAAGGGCTGAGGTCAGAGGTCAGTGCCCCCCCCACCTCCCCCCCCCCCCCCCCCCCGGGCAGGGCGGCCCCCCCCCCCCGCCCTCTGGCCCCAGCCCCCAGAGCCCTCAGGCTCCCAGGGAGCTCCGTGGGTGGGGAGGTGGGCACCGGGACCCCAGCACTCACAGGACCCCAGCTGCTCCTCCAGGAAGGAGATCTGCTCACTCAGAGAGTCGATGCGGTCCAGCTGCTGGAAGGAGTGAGCCAGGAGGCTTCCGGGGTCGGGGAGCCCGTGCTCCAGGGCCCTGGAGGCCAGGCTATGCAGCGGGGCCAGCACCAGCTGCAGCTTCTGTGGGGCAGGCAGAAGGTTCCCTCTCTGCTCCGCAGCTGTTAGGGAGCACTGGCCAGGAAGGCTTGCCGACGCCCACACCCAGCTCTGCAGGGCCCTGGGTATTCACCCGAGGGAGCTTCTGGGCCAGGAGGGCCAGACGGGGGGCCATAGGGGGACACCACATGGGCCCAGTGACGGTCCCCAAGGCCCAGGGTCCCGGGTCAGGGGATCTAGGAGGGGTGGACCAGAGCTCTCCAGGGGTCATCGAGCCAACGGGCCCATGGAAAGACGGCAGGGACGAGGGTAGCGGTGGGCCTGGGCTCGGGCCCTCCGCCCGCCTGAGGGGGCGTGGCCAAGCTTGGTCCCTCCTCCCCTGGGGCTCCCAGGCATCAGCCCGCTGCCCCTGCCAGGCCCCGGCCGTCAGTACCCAGGAGGCCTCCTTCCCGGGACCACCTCCACCGAACCCCGCAACCACTCTGAGGGTCTGAGCTACGTGACGGGAGACAACGGGGGGGAGGGGGGGGTCCCGGCCCAGGCCTCACCTGTTCCAGCACGTCCACCCTTGACCGAAGCCTCTGCACCTCCTCCTCGACTGTGCCGTCTGTTCCTGGGGAGATCCCGGTGCTGAGTCGGGCAGGCCCAGCCCCACACCCCAGGCTGGCTCCTCACCTCCCCCGGGAGACCTCCCGGCCTCCGCCGAGTGTGGGGCACGGGTCTGGAGACGGGGGCTCAAGCCCCAGCGGTCACAGACCCAGCTGCCGTCGCGAGCCCACCCCTACGGCAGGCGCCCAGGCAGGCCCGCAGACCACCTCCGCACGCCTCGGTGCCCCCCGCCCCGGCCCCCACGCTGTGCCAGGGGCCCCGCGGTGCTGAGTGGTCCGAGCCGAGGTCCACACTGCGCTCCTGGTGCCAGGCTGCCGACAGCGCATTATTACTCACGGTACGAGTTTGAAGTGTCACAGCGCGTACCAAAAGTAATAATGTCCCGTCGGCAGCGGAGGTGTGGCTTCTCCCGGCTGCCCGGGCAGGGGCCGCGGAGAAGACGCGGGGTGGGGGCCTTCTTCCACTCTCTCGGCTGAGGTGAGGCCCCCTCTCGGCAACCCGTCCCGTGATGCGCCGGGGGGGGACGGCCACCCGCCTTTCCCCTGGGGAAGATCCCCCACTTCTGCCCGGGTCAGGGAGATGGCCTGCCGCCCCGGGGCTGGCTGCCCCCACGGTGGCGGGCACAGATCGGCAGGGTGACGCCCAGCCCCCTCTCGGGCCCTCCCTGTCCCACCTCCCAGCACAGCAGCAAGGACGCGGGCAGGGGCAAGGGGGAAGCTTACCTGTTGTGGGGTTCGGGGCTAGCCGGGGGGTCCCTCTCTTGGGCAGGCAGAGTGCACCATCTGCGGACGGGCTGTGCCCCTCCTGACACCGGCACGAGTAACTGCCCGCGGTGTTGACGCAGTGCTGGGGGCAGGGGCCCCGTCCGGTACTGCATTCGTCCACGTCTGCGGGAAGAGGGGTGTGGGCAGGGAGGGGCACCCACGCTGAGCCCCCTTAACACCCGCCAGTCGGCAGGCCACCCGGGACACCCAGGGTGGCGTCCACAGGACCCTTCCCCTCCGGAGGGACGGGAGCCAGCCTCACCTGTCTGGCAGGTGTCACCCTGCCATCCTGGAGGGCAGTGACAGTGACCGGGCCGGACACAGCTCCCTCCGTTCTGGCACGGGGGCTGGCACACTGCTGTTGAGGGAGAGGCCCGTCACGGACCGAGGGGGGGGGGCCCCAGGGCCCTGCAGGGGTGGCAGCCGGGGAAGGGGCGCCGTGCAGCAAGGAGGCGCTCCACTCAGGCGAAAGCAGCAGGTGCTCTGCCCGGGGTCTGGAAAGGGGGATGGGGTGTGGCATGACCAGGCCGCAGGAGCAGTCGGCTGACTGGCCGACTGGGTGCTGTGGGGCCCCTGGGGCGGCCCTGCACCTCTCACCTGCTCCACAGGCCCTGGGGAGTCCACTGGTCCTCTTCCAGCCGGGGCAGCAAGCGTAGCGAGGCCTGGTGGAGGCCGGCCCGGGGCTGCGACGGTAGGCAGTCCTGTAGATGGTCCTGCGGGGTGTGCGGGGGCAGCGGGGCGTCAGCGGACCCGGGCTGGTCCTCCCAGCTCTTCACCGGCCTTCCCTCCCCGGGGGGCCGGGCCTCTGGATGCTGAGGGTGCCCTCCTGGGCCGGGACCGCTCAAGCCCCCAGTGCAGGAACCACCTGCGGCCTGGGGTCCTGGACGCCCAGCCCCGCTCTGAGCAGGCCCAGGAAGGGGTGACTCCCGAGTGGAGCTTTGCCAGCCCCTCCTTGGCCGGCCTGCCCAGTGGCAGGTGCACGGGACAGGGCCCCACCCCTCACTGGGCGTGCATCTCAGGGTCGCAGCCTGGGCCCCACCCACACTGCCCCCACCTTCTTGGCCAGCTGGGGGTGCGGGGATATCCCACAGGGAGGTCTTTGAGAACCCCCGCAGAAAGCAAAATCTTTTTTAAGACAAGTTGCCAGCTGACGACGGGAGACACGCCCCCTCGTGCTGGCCACTGGGATGTCCTGGGTGTGTGGGGGCAGGGTCTCTGTCTGGTGACCGCTGGGGCTGTCACGGGGAGAGGGGGACCCACTGGGGCTCCGAGGCAGGTGTCGGGGAGGCAGGCATCTCAAGCGGTAAGAACTTGTAGCCAGCCATGCCGGGAGCGGGCGGGCCCCCCTGAAGGCAGAGGGGAGCGGGCAAGATGGGCGACCCCCTCCGGAGATGGGGGGGGCGGGCAGGGAGGAGATGCTGTCTGAGCCTAATCACAGCCACGGCCTGGGACCAGGACCGGCCTAAGTCGACAGGGACGCCGGCCTCTGCCGTCCACTCAGTGAGTCCTTTGACCCCTCCGGGCCCGGGTTTCCCAGCTTGGGGCGACCCGCCCTCCTGGGCCTCAGGGTTTATGTGTGGCAGATGGGGGCCCTGCCGGGAGCGGGGGGCACTCACCGGTAGGTGCTGCAGGCTCGGTGCCCGTCACAGGTGGTGAGGTAGGGCTGGTAAGCCCGCTGCACAAAAGACTCAGACTCGGGGCCCCTGGGAGCCCCGACGGCACACACCTTGCGGCTACAGAGGAGGGGGGAGCAGCGTGTCAGCCCGGGGCTCCCGGAGCCCAGACTCTGGGGAGGGGCCGAGGGCTCCTGTGGGGGCCCCCCCCCGCCCCCCCCCCCGCAGTGGCCAGAGGGCCGACTCACCCAGGCCGGAAGACGTGCTCAGTGCCGCCCACTGCCAGCACCAGGAGCCACCCCAGAAGCAGCTCCCTGGAGTCACACATGGCCCGTGCGTCCCAGCGGGTTGGCCTTCTCCTGACGGTGGCCTGGAGCACAAGGCACAACCCCCTAAGTCCCTCTGCGGACCCCTCCTTGAGCCCGTACCTCTGCGGCTGCGGGCGACGGCGCCCTGGGTCTGTGACACCCGTCCCGCGCAGCCGCTTCCCCAGCAGGAGAGCCCCAAGGCCAGTGCCAGCCCCGTCCTCCCCCAACCCGTCTCAGCAGGTGAGGCCGGCCCTTTGCCAGTCACGGGGGCCCAGGACCAGAAGCCGGCACCCTCACGGTGGGGGCGGAGGCACGTTGGTCTGGGTGAACCGTGAAGGTGTCTGTGGCTCCCGCAAAGTTCACCTGGGAAGGTGGGGGCCCGGGGGGAGCCTCTGCACCCGTTCTAACGCCCTGGCTAGCGCCCTCCTTGTCCCGGCAGCACAGTACCAATCTCAGTCTGCACACGGGGCGTTAGTGAGCAGAGCTGGAACCCAGCCCAGCTGGCTTGGCCCTCGGGCCCTCAGTGTCCTCATCTGCCAAATGGGGAGCCAGCCGTGGCGGGGGGGGGGGGGGGGTGGGGTGGACAAGGAGGGTGCAGGCGTTCAGCATGCGGGAGCCACACGGTCCTGAGAACGGGGCAGGGCCTGCGTATAGGAGGGGGTCACTCCTACACTGGGGTCTGACCGGTCTGGCCCAGGGATCCCAGGA